ACTCCCCAACACTGAACAACATGCAGTCTTCATTTAAATTACACATATTTTAATATGTTTGTATTACTGATTTTACTTGTTTTTTTTTCATTGTGCTTTCTTGCTGTAGTTTCTCCCCATGATTACTGTTTAGTGTTTTATTTGTTTAATTATCATTATATCTAGCAACTGTATTTTGACAATATATAAAGACTTATGTCAATTTATTTTATTCTGCTTTAGATAGTGAAGATGGAATCTGACAGAATTCCGAAATGTTTATCTTGTGTCAATAAACAATGTTGTATACATAAGTGTCGTAATTTTGTTTATTATCAAACTTCGTTTCCTTCGAACACATCGATTGCTAGGTCATATTAGAACAATTTAGATTAATTGAAGTTTTAAAAAAAAAATAGTTAAGAGATTTTTAGGTGAGTAAATTATTTCCATTTAAGTTACAAAAAGATGCCCCCTAGTGTTACATCTGTTGACTTATAAGACTATAAGTTGGGTTTCACTTCCCTGGTGTAACAGCACAGATAACCCATTATATAGCTCAACTACAAACAAACACAAGACCATTAGGTACCTGCATGCAGAAGCTAATTTTCTACACAAAGCTGGAAAATCTCATTAGATGATATATCTGTATTGTAGAGTGTAAATAGGCCATATCAAATTAATTCAGATAGAATGAAGCACTAAAGATAATAGTTAATTTTATTATTTTCAGCCGATGATTTCAGCACAACGAATGCTGATGATAATGGTATACCAATAGCAGGGAACAACTCAATTCTTCCAAAGGAACATGGGTGTAAGATGTTCAACCTGCCTATAGTCAAACACTTTGAGAAAGATGTAAGAAATGTTTTGTCTTCTAAGTTGAATTCAAAACTATTAATTATAACTAACTGATTTAGACTTAATGCAGTCTGAAATCTCTCTAATGGCATTACACAAATGTATTTTGATAGATTGTATGTGTTATCATTGTTTGTAATTTATCACTGAACATTCAATGCAGTAATGATATCAGTTGTCTGCTATCTTAACTGTATTTCAAAGAAGCACATTGCTTCAGTTAAGGTATTGAAGATGTTTAAGGCAGGTAAATTGTTCATCTCATTTACTTCATGGTGGACTTTGGATGCATGACATCCTTGCAGAAGTTAGGAGGATTTAGAAGTCCTTTTTGGACTCTTAACAAAATTTTCTTCTTTGTAGAGTGATTTTTTTGAAGTGTGCGACTGTTTCTCTCAGTTAAATTGACATATGCATAAAATTAACTTATGCCTAATGACCAAAGTTAAGTTTGAATCCAAAGAAAGTCACAGAACAGATAATGCACATGCATATGTCACATGCAATTTGTTACACAGCCATGTTTCACAACTGTGCTAATTTCTAAAGCAAAACAGTTGTTCATAATGGTGCTAATTTCTAAAATATAACCAAACCTAATGATTATGTTGATTTGTAAAATAAATTCATGCATCACAGCTATGCTATTTAGTAAAATAAAACCATGCTTCATAACTGTGCTAATTTGTAAAATAAAACCATGCTTCATAACTGTGCTAATTTGTAAAATAAAACCATGCTTCATAACTGTGCTAATTTGTAAAATAAAACCATGCTTCATAACTGTGCTAATTTGTAAAATAAAACCATGCTTTATAACTGTGCTAATTTGTAAAATAAAACCATGCTTCATAACTGTGCTATTTTGTAAAATAAAACCATGCTTCATAATTGTGCTAATTCGTAAAATAAATCCATGTCTCATACCTTTGTTGATTTGTAAAATAAATTGATGCATCACAACTATGCTCATTTTTTAAATAAAACCATGCCTCATGAATGTGTTGAATTGTAAATATTGAATCTACCATTTATGCTACTAATTTAAGTTTCCCACAGAAAAACCTGGTGATGTATGATGCTCTATTATATTTATATTTAAATACTGTTGCATAGATATATCTCCTGATATTTTCTATAGGTTTCAGCTGTTGCTGCATGGGACTCATCCATACACGATTCCATCCACCTGAATCAAGTGACACCTCAAACTGAGCGGGTGTACATGATCCTCAAGGTCACCATACGATTGAGTCACCCAGCAACCATGGATCTTATACTTCGGAAACGGTTGGCTATCAATGTATACAAAAGACAGTCCATCATGGACCGAATGAAAAAACGAATAAGCAGGCAGGTGTGTTGAATGAAGAATGTTGGTACTATTGAAAAGTGGTTCATCATGTATAACTTTGCTTTTTTATATACACATGTGGATTATAATTATTAATTTTAGGATTACATGTTAATGGTAATTTGTATTAATTGTGGTAAATATATGATCTTTATCTTATTTCTTAGACAATTTCAAGGTAATGGTAATAAATATTTGGTCTTTATATTTTCTGTTCCAGGATTTCAAGGTAATGGTAATTTGTAGTAATGGTGGTAAATATGTGAATGTGATCTTTATATTTTTTTAAAGGATTTGGTAAATATGTTTTATTTGTCTTATTTGTTACAGGATTACTTGTTTTCTTCAGGTGTCACCTATGAAATTGTATCTAATGTTCCCAAGGTAGGAATTAAGACTTCTTTTTGATATCAGTTTTAAAATATAAATTATCATCTAAATTTATTGCTTGTTTTTTTTAACCCTTTACTTTGTTGTGCCTGTTTGTATCAGGCTTACACGGGTAATGAATGTCCTGGACTTTTGTAAACAAATTTTTCAATACTAAAAATCCTGGAAATTGATCATTGTTTTCTGGAAAATTCCTTAAAAGTCTGTTGCTTCTAGATCCCTCATTTTTTATTGATAACTAGCCGAGACATTTATCTCAGTTTGAGAAAAATGATCTGTAGAAAATGTGACTCTTAAACTAAGAAATACTTTGCCTTAGTAATACTGATGTCACGTGACTATTGTGGTAATGAAATACCATTTTGTTAATGCAAAATCAGTTTAAGACTTGTTTGGCAGAAATCTAAAATCATAACATTTTTGGTAGCAAAAGAACATGGACATTTCAAAATTTTCCTAATTCCAATTTCAGCATAAACACTTCAAAAATAGTTGGCTTATAGCCTAAGTTATCAGTTGTTGCCCATAATTTGTTAATAAAAAGAGAGAGAAATGAAATCCCAAGTGTTAGCAATATAATAAAATAAGTATCATAAACCTAACTGCTATGCACAAAATAGTCAGGTATGAAGCTCATCATCTTATACTTGATTAGTTCACACATTGTTTATACAATGATCGATCTAGGCTCGGGAGTTTTTGAGCGATATTTTGTGTCACACCGCTAAATATTTCAAGGACAATCTTCTGCTCTTAAGAGACAATCAGGACTGTAAATAAGTACAGTATTGTGATGTATGTTATTAATAGTGTTTTGTGTTCTTATTAGTAGTTCTTTCAGATCTAAAATAGATAAAATTCTCACAAAATCGGTTCATGATTTCTCTTGTGACGACTGATAGACACGGCAACAATTAAAATCTTTCAGAACAATCGTTGTTTAAATGTGGCTATGTGTTATCATACAAGAAAACTTACAGGTGGAACATCACATTAATAGTTTAGGCAGGATACTTGTATTGATTTGACTGTGAAATGTGCAGCAACTGCCCATTAGAGAAACCTTGTAGAAATATATTGCTGACTATACAATCTACTTTTGCAGCTCAAGTGAAGAAGACAGCTTTTTGAAAGTCTTCTGCCTTTCATTTTTGACCAATTGCAAAATGTACTATGTCAAACAAAGCTAGAGTCATTGACTCAGACAAATTTTCGAAAACAAGAAGAATAAAGGAAACTTTCTACATTAAGGAGAGATTCAGGCCTAGAAATCGGCATTTTATGGCTACCATTGGTTGAATCCACCCTCAGTTGTCTGCCAGTCAGGACCAGGAACAAATAACCAATCAAAGCAGTTTATCTCAATACACTAGGATACCATATAAGGCTTGCACAAACTAACCTGAAAACGAATGGTGGAAGACTTTTGAAACATCCTCATCTACACTTGAGCTGCATATGTAGATTGAATAGTCATCAATATATTTCTATAAGTGTTTCTCTAATAGGCAGTTGGTGCCCATTTCACAGTCAACTCAACATAAAGGTTTCCAGTTCTTTATTAAGTGGAAGTCCAGCAGTAAAGTTAGAAAATGATCAAAAATGATGGAATGTAATTGTATAGAAAAAATCCAAAATATACAACAATGTTAATGTGGGAAACAGTATGAGAATTTTTTCAGAAACAATAAGAGTGTGAATCTTTGCTTTGTTGACTTGATTGGCATTTTGTACCAATCAGGTACAAGCTAACTTGTTTGTCCTATTAGCAAGTTAAAATAATATGTACAATAAATGTTATTTGGTTTTAGTTACAGACCAGAGGGGGTTCTTAGCTGTGGCCAAAGAACAGTATTTCATAGAAAAATACGCGGCTTTTTTCGTTTGTTATTAAACTGAAGCTGGAAAGAAGTATTCTTTGTACTCTTTTTGTTGGTTTGTTTGTTTGAATACATTATTTTGATGGCACTGGTGTTGTCAAAATATATTAGGGAATTGCAAATTCAGTCCATTTTCATTGAGTCTCAACACTGTAGAACACGAAAGAATTTGATATTGGAAACATGGGAAACCTTTCTATTAAAAGTCAAGTGAAATCTGTAAATCATAAGAAAAAATAGAGATTATTTGCAAATGTAGTTCCTTGTGAGATTTTGTGAAGCCAACACCAACTTCTGGTTCACACACTGCTGGTTCACACACGAGGTTGAATAATGGACAAATGTATGATAATAATATTTGCAAGCTCATCTAGAGTTTGAATGGACCAGATAAAGAAAAGTGTGTCATAAGAGTTAATTCAAAGAAAGAAGACACTTTGCAATGTATATAGAGACTTCACAAGGAAGAAGACAAACATCCTGGTGTGAATGGAAGAAAACAAACATCCTAGTGTGAATGGAAGAAAACCAACATCCTAATGTGAATGGAAGAAAACAAACATTACTAGGATGTTTGTTTTCTTACATTCACACTAGGATGTTTGTTTTCTTACATTCACACTAGAATGTTTGTTTTCTTACATTACACTAGGATGTTTGTCTTCTCCCATTCACACTAGGATGTTTGTTTTCTTCCGTTCACACTAGGATGTTTATTTTCTTCCATTCACATTAGGATGTTGGTTTTCTTCCATTCACACTAGGATGTTGGTTTTCTTCCATTCACACTAGGATGTTTGTTTTCTTCCATTCACATTAGGATGTTGGTTTTCTTCCATTCACACTAAGTTGGCATTCAGATTAACTTGTTTTTTTGTATTTGTATTTTCATTTCTTCTAGTTCAATTTTCGTTTCTTTCACAGACCTCCTAAAACTATTAAGTTTGAGAATCCATTCACACTAGGATGTTTGTTTTCTTACATGCCAATAAGATGTTTGTTTTCTTACATTCACACTAGGATGTTTGTTTTTCTTACATTCATTTTTGAAATGTGCAACATGTTTTTAGTTGATTGTTTAAAATCCTTAATTAGATTATGAAGAGTTTAAAATTTCTTTTCTGGTTTTTCAAACCAATTCAGTTGACTTTGAGTTGTTTGGTTTATTTGTTTTGAATTAAATATTTTTGTATTCTACAAGTTTAATTTATTGAAGAAGTACTCTAAAGCTGTAGTTGATATTTTTTATAGGAAAAACAAAAGATGTAAAGTTATAAACATTTCTAGACTATTTTGTGTAGCTTTTACTGCATTTTTTATAGAATATGATAAAATATTAGTTATTTATGTTTGGTGGAGTTCATATTCTGTTAAAACTTGTAAATTGTTTCTTTAAAAATGACAGTTTGGTCTTGGATAAGCCTGTGTGAACTGTGTTGGAAATATGCATTGTACCATAGAATCTATGTCTAGCATATACTAAACTTTTTTCCCTATATTCACAACGTATATAATTGCCTTAGGTACACATATAATGCATTTTAGGGGAATCTTGAAGGTTTTTAGTGATGGTATTATTTTATAATGATCATATATGATTAACACATATCTTTGGTAGGACAACGTGTTTTCACCATAGTTTTTGAATAGATTCTGGAGCCCCCTCCAACATACACTGGTTACTTCTGCAGTTGCATATCACTGTTTCACAATGATCTATATGCAGTGCCTCCAGTATTGTAAGATTATTTAAGATAAATCTTGGGATTTCTTTGACATTCACTGCCAACGTTGGCTTTTCTGGGATAATAAGAGGGTTAATCTGTTGCACAAATTAAAGGTGTAAAGTTACGTAATTGAAAACAACAGATGTAAAATGTTATGTGAGTGCTGCTGTAAAGATAAATTAACATGATGTTTCAAATAAAAATATTATACTGTCAAACCATAAACAACCTGTTTTAGTGACTTTGAAACTATATAGCAACATTATAACAAAATCACAAAAAATATTGGTACTACTATATCGTGCAGTCTACGCAGATATTTACACCATAGTGTTTGGTCTACACAGATATTTACACCATAGTGTGCAGTCTACACAGATATTTACACCATAGCGTGCAGTCTACACAGATATTTACACCATAGCATGCAGTCTACACAGATATTTACAATATAGTGTGTGGTCTACACAGATATTTACACCATAGTGTGCAGTCTACACAGATATTTACATCATAGTGTGCAGTCTACACAGATATTTACACCATAGCGTGCAATCTAAACAGATATTTACACCATACCGTGCAGTCTACACAGATATTTACAATATAGCGTGTGGTCTACACAGATATTTACACCATAGTGTGCAGTCTACGCAGATATTTACACCATAACGTGCAGTCTACAGAAATATTTACACCATAGTGTGCAGTCTACACAGATATTTACACCATAGTGTGCAATCTAAACAGATATTT